GCAGATAGCCCTCCTTTACGCGAAATTAAAATAAAAAGTTATAATTGGCTACTGATATAGACTACGAAATTAATAAATCAACTTTAGTAATCCGAAAATCGTTTAATCTCGAAGTCAAAGTTCAAGGGAGGTCCAGTTCAATCTACACTTTGATCGACGTGTGTTAATGGGTTATACTAGTTTCGGAGAATTCCACTCCTCATCAGAGACAAGCTGGACCTATAAAATAGTGAAAGGTTTTGATTATTTGAGACAGTATTTGAAGCTAAGACTAGTGTTTGTGTATTCCGTAAGTAGGGTATGGTCTAATATTTCTTTGATGTTACTTTCATTAACAGTATTGGTTAGAATGTTTCTTGTGTCTAGCTTCATTATTTGTAATTTGTTGTTATTATTCCTTTATCAAAAAGAGATCATGTTGCATCATTAGCTTAATATATGTATTTAGGACTAACCAAAATGTCCTAAGCTGGTCCGACCGGGCTTGGTCTGGTGGTTATGGGCTCGACTCCCAATCTGCGGGTCGCAGGTTCGAATCCACATCACACCGTGGGAGCGTTGTAATGTTGCAATCAATCCCATTATTCATTGGTTAAAAAGTAGCCCAAAAGTTGGTTGTGGGTGGTGTTGAACAGTTGCCATTCCTCTAGTGTGTTGCTGTTAAATTAGAGACTACTAACGCAGATAGCCCTCGTGTAGCTTTGCGCGAAATTCAAAGCAATCCTAAGCTGACCAAACTTTATGAAACGATGTATTTTAATCTTTATAAGTCAGATCACAACAGCAGCATATTTAATAGCCGTGTTCATTAACTGACGTAATTTTTACTTTCATGTTTGATCTAAGTAAACAGTTGCTGCGAACAAAAGTTCATATTAATTGGTCTACTATTGTATCGTTTGGATTCAAAGCCAGAAGATTTCACTAATAACAGAGTCGCATGTTTTCATGTTTGATCTAAGTAAACAGTTGCTGCGAACAAAAGTTCATATTAATTGGTCTACTATTGTATCGTTTGGATTCAAAGCCAGAAGATTTCACTAATAACAGAGTCGCATGTTTCTTTAATAATTCGTATAAATAATATAATTACGGTTTACTAGCACTTGAATAATAACATTCAAGTTGTATCCAATAATATAAATACGGTTTCACC